TTTATTGCATTTTAGTTTTTGATGTTATTAGATTAAAATGTATTAAGCTCTTAATTTAAGTAAAAAATTTCTCAAAATCTAATTTTCCTAGAAATCCTCCATATAATATTTTATATAGTTCTTATTAATCTATTAACTAAGCCAATTTTTGTTTATATAGTATATTTACTTTTAGCATAATACCAGTCTTTCACTAACAATAGTTATAAATAAAATTTTTTTATTATATTTGAACTTATTTTTTTATGGCATAAGGACAATTTATCGATCCAAAAACTTTTTTGGAAAGATGTGGAAGAGGATGTGGTGAATTAGCTGACAAATTTCGCGTAATTATAAAAAAATTTTCAAAAACAAAAATTTTTAATATTTAATATTTATTCACAAATTTCAAACCTTCCAAATCAGGATTGGGAACATCTTTTTACAGCTTCAAACTATGAAATGAAAAGTGAAATGGGTATACCCACAAGAAAAAGAAGGTAAAAACCCTTTAATAACAATATATATATATCTTTTAATAGTAAATTTTATCTAAATACTATTTTATCTTAGATGGATTCTTGATTGGACAGAACATTATCGAAATGGAGTCAATCCATATAACATTCCTATTCGTACAAAGAAAAAGAAAAAGAAATAAAAGAAATAAATTTTTAGTTTATTAATTTTATATTCTTTTAGCTCAAATTTATTTTTCATATCGAATACCTTCATTCTTTAATATCATTAATTTCATAAATTGAATGATTAATCATTGAATGATTTGAGCAAAACAAAAAATTAAATTTATTATCCCAAAATTTTCTCCAAAAACGTTTTCATAAACCCTCCAATACTTCAATCTCTAATGTAAATCATTGATAATTAATTTACGTCATATCCATCATTCAAATCCTTTCAACGTTAAGTAATTATATTTTAATTTTTTAATGAAAAAGAAGACAATAATAAATTGGTAAACCATACCAGGACCAGGATTCTCGTTTTATGTTCCGACCATCAACGACAATTTAAAGTTCCAATTATAATTCCACTTATCAATATACTGTAACTTGCAAAATCCTCCAATAATACAATAGAGCTATGTAATCCACATAATACCCTTCAATCAATAACAACTTATCTTCAGTCCAACATCTCAAAAAAAAATATTCATCTTACTATGAGTTTCCGATACCTAATATTATTCAATTAAATATTAAAGAAACCGAATTCTTGTAATATATTCCAATAATCTCGCGTAATCATCCAATATAAAATAAACAAATTTTACTATAATCCACATAATATTCATCCAATAATAAATTTCATTCCATATCTCCAACATCGGTTACCGATACATTCATTATTATTCAACGTATATTTGTAAAAGTTTTGATAATAAAAGAAAAGAATAATAAGGATAAATCAAACCGTTTTTCCCTGTTTATACTCCAATCAACAATCAGATCTTAACTTCACTCAAATAAGCAAATAATAACTTCACGCAATATTCTTCTAATATTCATTATTACTTTCTCATATATGGTCCAGCAATACCTATGCACAATTTCATTATCCCAGTCAGAATCATCGTCATCATTCTCTAATCTGTCTTTTTAAGCATCTTCAAATTTATTATTAATTAACAACATATGTATCAATAAATATAAAAAAAAAATCAAAGAATTTCGAAAGAAAAAAATTGAATATTCAAACCAGGTTTTTAGATCGTTTAATCAATAAATCTTAAATCTTATTTATTTAACTCATCATATATGCAATTAATTAATTCGCCCACCCATATATCATAACATTATCAAGCTCCATGTCTTTCTTAATTCTCAAATCATAAAATCTCGAGTTATTTATTATTACACACTATTTCTTAACATTCCTTTATTATCCACTATCAAGAATCGTCCGGTCAATAAAATAAGTTATATATAAAAACTAAAATCCAAATCCATAAAAAATTTTCACTATAACCACATCCCATTAGCAACTGATCAAAAAATTTGGTCAATTAAATAAATGCATAATTGATATTATAAAAAAATTATAAACCTCTTTTATAAACAACGAAGAGCAATTTGATTGGTTGATTAAATTTGTTAGCCGATCCATTTTATTTATTTAAGGAAAACTGTTAAAAAAAAATAAAAAATAAGTTAATATCTTATATATAAAATTAATCATGCTAAAATTAATTAAAAATAAAAATATATTATTGATACTTTATTAAGTTATTGCTTAAACAATTGCATTTTGATAGTATGCTTAAATTTCTTTATTTTATTTTTTAAATAATAGAAATAATAATTAACATTTTATACATAAAAATCATGTTTTATTTAATAAATTTTATATAATAATATAAAATTATATTCTTATAACAAGTTATATTTTTTATTTAATTTTTTTTTAAAAGATAATTTATAAATATAAAATAAAATAACTTCTATTTATATAATATACTTTCTATAAAATTTATAAGTTTTTTAAAATTTTAAAAAAGGTTTTAAAGAATTATGAATTGTAGATATTTCTATAAAAAAAATTTCAAAAATATAATCACTATACTTATTATATTATATATGTTATTTTTTGTTACATTAAAATTTGGGTCTAGTTCATTTTATTAATGAATGTTTTACTGCCAGTATCATTTCATCAATACAATTATTTTATCGACAGTTTATTTATTTATCAAATTTTATATTATACATTAATCAATAATAGAAAAATAAATAAATAAAACATTATATTTAAAAGATCATAATAATAAAAAAAGGAATTATTCAATTTAGTGATCATATATTATTTATAGTTATTTACATATTTTATCAATATTATATATTAATTTAGATAACAATTAATAAATCAAAATAAATAATCAAATTTATTGAAAAATATAAATTATAGTATTTAACACAAAAATAATTTTTTTTGAAATGTCAATGAAATAATCATTAGTGAAATGTTTATCAGTAAAATAAACATGTTAGCAAAATAATTATTGATAAATATTTGTTAATAAATAATTCTGTTTATAAAAAGTTTATTAGTAAAATAATATTATAAATCATTTGTTAGTAAAATACTTAGATTAAAAAATCTAAAAGTAATAAATTTTAAAATAAAGAAAATATTATATTAATTAGGAATGAATTTTTATAATTATTTTTTATATAAAAATAAAATTATAAATTAATACTTTAATTAAATCTTTTAAAGAAACTTTTTTATTTCTTTATTATGATTTAATAAGGCGATACAAATTTAAAAAATTGGTTTTCATATCAAATTTTGCTTTATTTGAAACGGCCGCATGGATTTTTATTTTTAAATTCAAAAAATTTTTAACCAATAAGATTTTATATGCTCATCATATTAAGTGTTTTACAAACCTGGTAACCTAACAATATAAAAATTTTGTACCATGCATTTTAACAAACAATTGTATTGTATGTTATACAGATGATATAATGTATTGTTTTGATTTTTCTGTTATAACGGTTTGCTATAGTTAAAAATTTTAGCGTGGGAATCATTTGTAAACAACATATTGCTTTTCGATATAAATATAAAAAATAATCTCATAAATTGAATTTATAAAGCAACCATATATCTTATACATAATACTATATTAGAAATTAAACAATTGTTCATATTTTCATTTTTGACTGCGCCCCTAATAGAACAAATTCAATTTAGTATGCATAAAAATAAGAACGCATTAAGAAACACTTTCTCCAAACCTTTAATAAATCTTTTATTTTATTAACAATGCCATTTGCAAATATTCATATCTTCAAAGGATTAAGAATACTTCATGAATGGTACATCTATCCTATTCCTAGTGAAATGTCAATAAAAGATTTTTTTACAAAACTTGTTAATAAAGAAATATCTT